CGTATTTTAAATGGATAGTTTGTTTGCTTTTTAATTGAAGTACAGTTGATTTAAAATGTTATATTAGTTTCTGATGTACAGCATGGATGGACTTGGAGGGCATTATGCTAAGTAGTGTAAGTCAGGCAGAGAAAGACAAATATTGTAAGATTTCACTTACACGTAGAATCTAAAATAAGTACAACAAACTAGTGAATAGAACAGAAAGGAAACAGACTCACAGAAGTAGAGAAGGAATTAGTGATTACCAGTTGGAAGATCGAAGGGGAGGGGCAAGATGGAGGTGGAGGAGTGAGAGGTAAAAACTGTCAGGTATAAAATTAGCTACAAGGATGTATTGTACAACATGGGAATATAGCCAATATTTTATAATAACTATAAATGGAGTATAACCTTTAAAAATTGTGAATCACTACATTGTAAGTCAGACAGAGAAAGATAAGTACGATATGATCTCACTTATGTGTAGAATCTAAAAACCAAGAATAAAACCCATAGATACAGAGAACAGATTGATGATTACCAGAGGTAGGAGATGAGAGGGAGAAAGGGGTCAAAAGGTGCCAGCTTGCAGTTATAAAATAAATGTTATGAGGATGTAATGTATAGCATGGTGACATAGTTAATACTGTATTGTATATTTGAAAGTCGCTAAGAGAGTAGATCTTAAAAGTTATCATCACATACACAAAAAAATTAACTATGTACAGTGATGATTGTTAACTAGACATACAGTGGTGATCATTTCACAATATATACATATATACAGGTGTTTTATATCTGAAACTAATACAGTTATCTGTCAGTTACAGCTCAGTGTTGTTTTTAAAAAAGCACCAGAAGTCAGATTGTTTTTCTTTTTAAATGTATCTTAAATAAAAAAAATTAGAGCATCTTTATCAGATTTTTGTTTTTAACTTTCTGTATAATTTCATGCCAACATAGTTTTTAAATAAAGTTATAGACTGAATGATGTACTTTTTATTTTTCAATCAGTAAGCTCTCTGAAATGTTGCTACTTGGCAAGAGTAGCCACACCCTGTCATTTGATTTATATTTTGAACAGTAAATTTTAGAGTCAAAAAAAAATCTTTTATAGACATATGTTACCATTAAAGTTCAGTTGACCCAGTTAACTCTGATTTTTATATTTTAAATTTATTATTGAAAAGGCAAGATTTTTACTTGGTAGTATTTTTAAATAATAAAAAATATTCCCTGGCCAAGTTTCTAAGGTCCTATTTGAGGAGGAAACAGAGATTTTTTTTTTCTCCTTTTAATAACTGAACTGATGTGCTTCTGAACTTTTAAATAAAGTTTTAATTTTAAAATATTCAACTTGCATGACTATAATATACAATCAGAATTGTTGATATCTTTTGCCTCTTTATCCCTGGTCTTTGGTACTTTGCATTTTTAATATTCCTTTACTATAATTTTAATGCTTAGGAAGGAGCAGATATGTTTATCCAGAAAGTAACTCAGTAACTTTTTTCTTACTGTTCCATTGAAAAATAAAGCACAGACACTGAAAAATATGTAAGACACAAACAATTGTAAGACAGACATGCTTATAACTACTGCTCAGGTCAGGAATAGAACTGTCAGTTACCCGCAGAAGCTTTAATCGAGCCCAACCCAACCACAAGCCTGTCTCTCCTCCCAAAAGTTCCTCTTTTTTCTGTTATGGTTTATCACTTAGATGTGCGTCTTTTAAAACTATAGTTTAGGTTTGTTTTACTGTTGTGTATTTCAGTCTATAAGGTCCTTTTCCATTGCCGTTTCCCATTTTGTTGGGAAGTTGCTGAACATCCACATTTAACCTGTGGAGTTTCCCACAGCCTGGATTTTGCTGATTATTGTTTCATGGTGTAGGTACGCATGTTTCTTGGTCCTCTGTTGTATTTCCTGCAAATTGCTAGTGACGTATAGAGGCCCGGCCATAGTCAGTTTTGTTTGTCTGTTTGTTTTGACAAGACTGTGGGTAATTTTGTGTTCTTTTATTGGGAAGCATAAAATGTCTGTCTCTCTTTTGTGATATTAGTAACAGTTGTGACTAGTCAAGTGCCTAAATCCATTAGATCATTTAGGGGATTGCAAAATGGAGATACTCTTGCTTTTGCATTTTTTTTCCTGTGATTGGCTGGAATCCATCCTCTAATCTAGTCTTTGGTTAGTTGTGTTATGATATGTATAGGAAAGGTGAAGTAAATGCTAGATTCTTCACCTTGGCTTACCAGTTTGGGGAATAATGACTTGGCTTTCTTTTATCCTCTAAACCTGGATACTTTTTTGTTATCTGTGTACCATTATGAACTTCTGAATTTAAACATATTGGACATGTTTCAATCCATTGCAGTTTTTATCCTTATTGAAGCTCATATTGTCCCACATCTGGCCAGTTAGATCTTCTTCAAGCTCCCAGAGTTCTTTTAACATAACTCCAGATTTGATAGCTTTCACAGCTTTCTTGCTTTCTAGTATGGTAAGGTGTCCCAGCCTCATCTGAAGGGTGGACAGGATTTATGAATTTATCTGTGGGTATGCTGTGAACCAGTGGCCAAAAGTAGCCACCAGCCATGTTGTCCTTTTGTTTTCAAAAGAAACAATCATTCCTTTCAAGCCCCACCCTCCTCCCTCGACTGTGTAATGACTAAGTCCTATAATAAATCCCTCAGTCCATAATGCTCATCTTGGGTGGCCTCCCAATCAACCCTGATGGACACTGTATGGTGCAGTGGAAGTCATCCCCACAGCATGCCCGCAGTAAATACGGTAGCTGGGAATTTTTCTTAGAGAGCCGAAGACATGAGCAAACCCTGATGGAAGAGCCCTAGGCGAACAGAAGAGTATCGATGCCACTCCCTGTCCTGCCAATCCGACATGTATTCCTCTGGAACTGTCATGTCCAACTCAGAGCCCACCAGCCACATGGGGCCACTGAACACTTAAAAAGGACTTGTTGCAAGTGGGGAAATGAAACTTTTAATTTTACCTGATTAAAATTTAAATTAAAACACTGGCAATTCAAGTCTGTTCCCGGAAAACTTAAGTATGGTTTAGAACAACTTCAACATGTGAATCTACATTTTCGACTTTATGACACTTAAATACATATCAACTCTGATGAAAATGTATAGTTCAAATTGAGATGGGCTGTGAGTAGAAAATATAATGCATATCATTAAAATAATTGCATATCATTTCACAATAAACACATATCAAATCACTATGTTATACACCTAAAACTAATACAATGTTATATGTCAATTATATCTCAATAAAATTTTTTTTAATTTCTAAAAAAAAGAAACATTAACAACAACAGCAGCAATATATATATATATTTGGCACTTACTATGTGCCAGTCATTGTACTAGTCTTTGGATATGGTGTTTAATAAGAGATGAAACTGCCCTCAAGGAATCTACAATCTAATGAGGAAAACAAGACACTACATTAAATAAACTTACAGGACCCTAGAATGGTATAAGAGTCTTAGAAGGAACATAACTCAGGGCATTGGAGATCAAAGAAAGATTTGCACTTAATGTATTATTCCATCTTCTATTTAAAACTTGAGTGTTCCAGGTGAAGAAAGATAAGGAGAAATTACCCAAGGCAGAGAAGATGTAGGTGAACCTGATTTCCTTTAGTTAGAAAGCAATCAGCATGTCTGTGTTAAACATACTCTGTTCTAAAACTTCCAGAAATCTGATCCTATGACCAGTCTTTCTGTACCACTGCCTTTTCTCTTGCCAGAAATCTCCCCAAGTAATATTTTTCTTCAAGAATCCAAGTTTTAAAGTGAAATCAAGGCATTTCTGCTCTCACCCAGACTGGATGAGTTGATATCATTTACTTTTGATTTTTTTTTTTTTTGGACGAGCATTCCAGAATCTCCCTTGTTGTTGCGTCTTACTTGTGGGCATTTTAATTACCTGCATGTAGACTCCTCCACTTAGCTTTCTTTTCCAGCTGGCCTTCATGCTTCATTGCAGTCTTCTTTACTTTTGAAGATGATGATTCTTGTATTTGTCTTACTTTTTATTCTGTTGACCATGTCAGAAGGAAATACTGAAACAGCTTTATCTGTGACAAAATACAAGTAAAACTAAAATTATTAGCTTATTACCAATTTTGAAGCTGATCATGATGAATTTCATCTAATGTATTTTTTCTGTAAAAATATTGATCTAACCATATCAGAGCAACTTCCTTGGCCTTTCCCCAGTACAGATTTAACACTGTGGTCCATTTCTGTTTCTTGAGACAACTGTTTTAGATTCCTAAAGCATAATTTCCAAAAAAGGTGAAATTATGATTTTCAGGCAAGTATGAAGTAAACATCAGGTCAAAGACTTTATTCAACTCATTAGTTATTGAAACCAGTAAGATGTTAAGACAAATTCAAAGAGTGTTTGAGTTATTTATAGACAATTAAATATGGAAATGTTAGAATAAGATAGTTGAGTTAGATACAAAACTGATTAATATCCTGTCTATTTAGCCATAACCTTTGGGGTTATTTTTTTCATCAGATAGAAGTTATTTGCATCTCTACCTAACAAAAATCTATAAACTAGCAAATAATCAGTAAACAGTGAATCTAACAAAGTATATTCTCCTAATCCTTGGGTGGCTCTGGGTCCCATGTGACACTGAAAAGATCTGTTACGTAGCTTTTTGCCCTTTTTTTTTTTTCCAAGTTGTGGATGATTTTGAATAAGATTTCAAAAATCTCGTAGACTGGATTAGAGAATTTTTCGGGAGTCTGAGAATTTGTGAATAACTGATGAAGTAAGCTCTGTTGTAATACTCTTCATAAATTTGGTATTGCAATGGCAGACAACTACCTAACAATTACTCTTTAATACTGAAGTTTTGCGGAGGATAAATTGTTTTAACTGGGCATCAAAGAAAGGCAAAGGGAATTTTTATATGCTTAATAGATTTAAAGTAATTTGCTATAAAATAAACTATCTTTTTATGTTCCCTAGGGTTTTCCAGGAGATATTGGGATTCCTGGACAAAACGGCCCTGAAGGATCAAAGGTAAAAAAAGAAAAAGAGAAAGAAAGAAAGTAAGAAAGAAAGGGTGATATCTACAGTTTTATAATCTTGAATCTCCATGTATGGGTAAAAGTAGATTTTAGAAATATCAGAACATCTCTGGATATTTTTTAGCTGTCTCAGGTGCATTTAAAAAACCTTGTGCAGTTGTTCGAGATGATCAGGAAGTAGCTGCATGTCTGGTTGTTCTTTTGGTATCATTTGTTTGGTAGGAGTATGTTTGTATAATCTCTTAGGTTCAGGTCATTGAAAATGATTTTCCTGGTTTAGTCTGGACCTGGAATAGGGTGAAAAGCACGTAAATCACAAAAAAAGGATTTTTTTAGAAGAGGTGAAAAGATTTTAAAATGCTAAAAATCTGTAGCATGCAGTAAGTGAATGAGAGTTTTCTGACCACTTAAGCCCTTTAGAGCCCTCAAAATATCCACTGATTAAAATAAAAGGCCTATGGTGTTCTGGAACTTATACATAGCACAGAAATATCTGAAGAAACATAATGATCTCTAACTGCCTTTACTTTTGTGTATATATACTAGAAGTTATCCACAGCAAAATTTTAAATACCAAGCCTTGCCAAGCAGCTGACATAGAATGGACATTATAAAATAAAGTATTGTGAATAAAGACACGGAATGATGAAATAGCCTGGAGCTTGGAGAACTGGCAGTTCGTGAAGTGTAGCTGCTGTGGAAGGTTATTAGTGTGAATAGAGAGAAAGCGTTAGGAGATGAAGCTGGAAAGGAAATTAATAGTGGCTGTATTTGTTAGCTTACTGTAGCATCAAGTACCATAGTAAATGTTTCCCAGGCATCTCAGTTAATCTTCACAACAGCTTTAGGAGGTAGATATTATCCACATTTTATAGACAGTTAAGTTATTCCCCTCATAGTCACATAACTATGAAGTGACTTAGCCAGAATCCTAACCCAGACATGGCTTCAAAATCTGAGCTCTTAACTGCTTAGTTTTGGATTCAGTTGTGGAGAAGTTTTCAGACCATCAACACTGGCACCATGAAATACTCAAAAGTTTTTAAGTAGTAAAGTATCATCAGTGATTTATGTTTTAAAAAGATACCACTTATATCAGCATGGAGGTAGGTTTGAACAGGAAAGAAACTGAAGGCAAAGAAATGAGCTAGAAAAAGCTAGAAAAGAAATTATAAAGATCTGAAATGCAATGGGACATTTATCTAATTAGCAAATATTTACTGGCTGCTTCTTACGTGACAGCCATTTACTAGACCCTAGGGCAACAAAGATGTAAAGTCCTTGTCCTTACTTTCAGGAATCTTAACATCTAGAGAAGGATACGCAGGAATTCTTTATAATAACCATAGGAATAGTATATAATATGTGATGCTGTGTGAGCATAGTGTTAGGGGTCTCAAACTGTGCTTTGTGGAGAAGGTAGCACTTAAGCTGACATGATGAATGGGTAGGAATTTGCAGACAGACAAATGAGATGAATGGAATTTAGGAAACAGATGCTTGTGAGAGGATGATGGCTCAGTATTTGGAACATATTTATACTAAAAGTTATTCATTGTTTATGTGAAATTCAAATTTGTGCATCCTGTGTTTTATCTGGCAACACTTCTGGCCATCTACAGACGCTCCCTATATATGTATATACAGCCACATTTCCCCCTTCCTTTCTGTCCCCATAGAAGTATTCCTCCTCCTCATTATTCAAGTTTCACATGTTTTGTATCAAACACTCTACTGACTCCTGAATGACATCATTCAGTCCATCAGTTATCACCTTTATCCTGATCTCTCTTTTGACTCAAAATTTCCCTTCTCTACCCTTCAAGCCATTTTTCACTGCCAGTATTTTAGTTTAGGCCCTATTTATTCCTCACCAGGATTAGTGCAATAGCCTCTAATTGTTCTTTCTGCCTCCAGTCTGGCATTTCTTCAAATCTACGTCCAAAATACTGATGTAACAATGTTTGCATAAATCTCATCCTGTCACTCTTGTATTTAAATCCTTAAATATCTCCATAGCTTCCAGGTTAAAGGCTTCTAATTCTTTACTTTGTACACAAGGTTCTTTATGACCTACTCTCTCCTCTAACTGTGTCATACCATCACTTCTCCCATTATTCTGCCAGAAGCAGTACTCCGGGTAAACTACTTAGAGTACTAAACCATGCCGGACTTGCTCAGATCCCACAGCTTCCTGCATGCTGTTCTCGTCTGGGTATCTCTCTGCCTTCCTGTGCCCTACTTCATCTAGCTAACACCTGCACATCACATGCCACCCTGCCCAGGAAGCTTTTCCTGTTTCTTCCAAATCAAATTGAGATGTCTCTTCTCTGTATTACCAAAAAAAAAAAAAATCTACCAAGCACTTCTCTTCATGTGATATAACTGTTGATTTGCTTATCTCTCTATTAGAAGATGAGCTTTTTCAGAAAAGACACTAATTGGCTTTAAACACATCACAGTAATCATAATAGTATCCATAGTACATAATAGGAACACAATAGATATTGGCTGAATGGATGATTGATTGAATACCTGTATTTAAAAGCTGATTTGGAAACACAAACAATACTGCTTGGTAACTGATTCACTGAAGGTGAGGGGAGAAAGAGAAGTCAGAGAAAACAGACTGTAGCTTGGGGTTACTGATGTCATTGACTTAAATAAGGAACTCAGAAGGAGGAGCAGGTTTGGAAGGTGGGGAAGACAAGAAATCTGATTCTGGGTATGTCTAGTTTGAGGCATCTGTTTGACACCAAGGTGAAAATAATCAGTACCTAGTAGTAAACCCAGCCCAAAGGTAGAAGTGGCGGCGTGGAGGGACGTGGGGGGGGGGGCAGGGCAGAGAATGGAGCTGGGAACTTCTCATGTGTGCTCAGGAATTTGAACTTGATGTGTATATAAACACATTCACTTACCCATTCGTTCAGTAATTGATTCATTTAACACTTACTAGGTTTCCTTTATGTTTTAGGCCAAGTACTAAAGGTGGGATTACAAAGATTTCTGAACTATGGCCCCTCACCTGGATGAGATTACAATTTAGTAAGAGATTAAAAAAATCACAAATGTCAGAAGAAGTGCTTTCATATATATAAAAGAGTTGCTGAAGTGCTGCTGTGAGAGCCTAGATAATTGAGCGACAGATTCTGCCTTAGGAAACTGGAATTATTTTGAGAGGAAGTGATAATTGAACTTAATGTGTTTTTTTTCTTCTGTAGGCTTCCTTAATTAAAAAAAAATTTTTTATTGAAGTACAGTTGATGTACAATATTATATATTACAGGTGTGCAACTAGCAATTCACAATTTTTAAAGGTTCTACTCCTTTTATAGTTACTATAAAATATTGACTATATTCCCTGTGCTGTGCAGTATATCCTCGTAGCTTATTTATTTTATGTATAATAGTTTGTACCTCTTATTCCCCACCCCTATCTTGCCCCTCC